CGCGATGGCGGTGCAACGGGGGGTTCAACGGGTGTTTAACGGGGGTACGTGGGTTCAACGGCGTTCAACGGGGGTTCAACGGGTGTTCAACGGGTGTTCAACGGGGGTCCAACGTGGGTTCAACGGCGTTCAACGGGGGTTGAACCGGGGGTCCAACGCGGATCCAACGGCTGTTGAATCGGGTGTTTGGGGCAGGGCCAGTTGTGCCGCCGTTGGCTCGCTGGGAAGGGGGGGGGGGGGGGGGGGGGGGGGGGGGGGGTTGTTGCTAAGCGGTTGCCGTGGTGGGTCAAGCGAGGGGAGTACCCTGAGGCCGAACAGGCGCGGCTTTGAAGGGGGTCCGCGATGCCGCGACAGCAGACACGCAGTCATGAGCCTGCGCCTGAAAATGTGCAGCAGGATTTCAGGCGCAAGGGGGCTGTGTACCGTTACACCGTCATCAGCCAGGCGGTCAACACCCGGGGGCAGAGGATGCTACGGTGCACCTTCTGCAATAAGGTGTGGCACGGAACCCAGTACTACGCAACAAAACACTTCACCCAGCCACAATATTGCAAGAAGGTGTTCGACGAAGCACTGTTTGACATTGCGCAAAAGTGCACACACCGGTTTGAGGCCGACCAGGCGGAGAGGGTCCGGCACTACGCACTGGAGCATGGGCTACATGTCCCGCGGTCTGGAGCGATGGGTGGTGAGGCAGAGTGGAGTGGACAGGGCGTCGGCGGGGGAGAGGATACCCGGCGTTGGTCCGAGGGTGGTGCTGCGAGAGATGGGGCGGGCGCCGGTGTCGCTGCGGAGGGCGAGGTGGGTGTCGACCGCGAGGGTAGCATGGCAGAGGGTGAGCGGACGACGACGGGAGAGGGGTCCGCGCCCGCGGTCGATCCGGTCAGTCTTCAGACGACGCGGGGCTGGGATCCCGGAGGCCTGTCCCGCCTGAGACAGCTAGCACGCCGAGTTCCTCGAGGACTCCTGTTCATGATACTCCTGGTTCTTCCAAAAGGAAGGACGGGGGTGCACATATTTCTGCCTCCCCCGCCGGCAAGAGGCTGCGGCAGCAGAGGGTTACAGACACGTATGGTGGCGAGTGGATCGCTCGTTGGAGGAAGGCATTCTTTCGCTGGGTGTTCTCCAGCGGGGTTTCCTTCAATGCCTTCCGCAACACGCCGTGGAGGGATTTGCAGCAGGTTGCGCTTCAACAGCCTGGATCCTCACCTCTGCCTGTGCTTCCCTCCCACAGCGAGATCGGGAGCATGCGAGCTGTGGAGATCCACCGGCAGGAGTTGGCGGAGGAGTTGGAGGAGGTTAGGCAGCCGTTTTGGTCGATCGGTGCCACCCTCCTCTCTGACGGGAGGAAGTCACGAGACGACGACCGATCGTGAACTTCCTCGCAGCGGGCTCTCGAGGGGTCGTCGTCTACACGACGATCAACCGAGAGGGGGAGCCGGATGATTCCGCGCACGTTCTGCAGAGATGGGTCGCCATCTTGCACGGTTTCAGGTTTGGCGGCCAACAGCGGGTCAATGCTATATGCACTGACTCTGCTTCTGCGTACGTGGGGGCTGCGAGGGCTTTGACCTCAGCAGCTATGCCTCTTGAGCTGAGGAGGATTACTTGGCTCCCCTGCTCCATCCATATCTGCAACAAGTTGTTGTCAGACATTGGCACGATCTGCACCTCTTTCGTGGACACGATCACGCGTGCCCGAGTTCTGGTGGTGTTTTTCAAAACCCACCAGGCCGCTCTCAGCTTCTTCCGGAGCCGCACGGGAGGAGGTTTGGGGCTCGGACTTTCATGTGAGACGCGATTTGCATCTGTGTACTCCATGTTGGAGAGGCTGCTGGCTCTGCAGGATCGTTTGCAGGGCATGATGAGAGGGGAGGATGGGCGGGCTTGGGCTAGGATCCCGTGGTCGCGCGACGTTTGCGACATGGCGCGTTGGGTGCGCCGCCAGATCAGGTGGTCCCCTTGGTGGGAGAGGATGCGGGCCATCGTACACGTCATGGAGCCCGTCATGGAGTTGTTGAGGCGGATGGATCGTGGCAGCCAGTTCATGTCCCTCGTTGTAAAGTGGACTCAGGATCTTGCACGCCTTGTGCGGGACGCTTGCGCACGTCTCGGCCACTCGTTTTCGGACCGCGTCATGAGGCGTGTGCAGGCTTGTATTCAGCACATGATGGAGCCCGCACACGCCGCGGCGTTCTTATTGAACCCCCGTCGACGGGATGTTCAGTACTTCTCATCCCAGCTCGACGAGTACCACTCATGGCTTGTTCGACAACCCAAGAGGTATCTGTTGTCACAGACCGGCTTCGACGTGCAGGGTGCTCCCTACCTTGAGGTGTGTCTGCAGTTCGAGGACTTCCACATGCAGCAGGGTAGGTATGGGAGTTGGGGCGGGGGAGAGGGCCGCGCCAGGGCGCGTACTTGCAACGGGGACCTTGAGACGATGGAGTGTGTGTCCTGGTGGTCTCAGTTCGGAGGAGACGCGCCTGAGTTACAGTATTGCGCTCTTCGGTTGATGCATATGTGGTCTTGCGCCTCTCCAGCGGAGAGGAACTAGGCGGTCCACGAGGGCATCCACACGAAGAAGCGCAATCAGTTGGCCTTCGAGAAGGTCGTCCATCTTGTCGAGATCACCATAAATGTGCGGTTGATGGAGTACAGACGTGCAGGTTGTGGGTACGTTCTCCCTCGGCAGCGAGACGAGGGTATGCTCGACGCTCAGGCGGGCAAAGACGTGGACCCCGTGTGTTCGGGGTTGAGGAGCACGATGACGCCGGAGGAGATCGTGGAGCAGGCTGCCCTCATTTCGCGCGATCCTATCGGGTCCGCTGCACCGCCCCCTGTAGAGTCTGTTTTCGGTGCTCGTGCGGCTATCTTCTGGCCATACCCCAGGGATGATGCCTCTGAGGACGAGAGGGAGCGGGAATGTGCGGACGACCCCGCGATTCCCATCCCGCGCGAGATTGACGAGTTGCACGAGGGAGGTGATGACTCGCACGAGGGGGCAGAGCGACCGCACACCGCGCGGGGGGCGGCAGAGCAGGCACATACAGAGATGATGGGGGAGGAGGGGGATATTTTGGGGGATTTCGGGGGCTTTGAGGTGAGATCACCCACTCCCGCGCAAGAGCATACGCGTGCTCCTACCGCCGCACTGCGGGAACAGACTACTGTTTCCGCGACCGCGCAGGAGCATACTCCTGCTCGTGCGAGGACGTGCGACCGGACGAGCACTCACGCGACGGAGTCTGGACCTTCGTCACAGTTGCATCTTCCTCGACATTCAGTAGCATTGTCCGCCGAGACTGCTTCCATAGGGCATGCTCAATAGGGCATGTTGAGCACTCTCGTACGGCGGTTGGGAGGGGGGACTTGGGATCCTCATTGTGCACAAGCGGGCATGGATCGTTGTTTAGCGTAGCCCGTCAGCTCGTTTTGGACTCGCCCGAGGAGGGGGATTTGGAGGAGGAGGGTGTTCATAGCGGGACAGCGGTGCTGAGGGAGAGACGACCGGAGGAGCACGGAGCGAGCGGAGTTGACACCCTTGAGGGTATTCGAGATATGGAGGACGAGTTAGCAGGAGCAGGGCGGAGAGGATTGTCATCTACGCTGCATGATAGATTAGGGGGGGGTGATGGTGCGCAGGTTGAGAGGGAGGCGGCTAAGGCGGGAGTGGAGGTGGATGATGGTGCGCAGGTTGAGAGTGAGGCGGGAGTGGAGGTGGATGATGGTGCGCAGGTAGAGAGGGAGGCGGGAGTGGAGGTCGATGACGGTGTGCAGGTTGAGAGGGAGGCGGGAGTGGAGGTGGATGATGGTGCACCAGTTGAGAGGGAGGCGGGAGTGGAGG